AGCTGCTGTTTCTCATAGTAAAAGTCCAGAGCAGTTAGACACAATTAATATATGTAAAATAGGTATGAACTGGTTGATTACACAGGAAACAAGGTTCTGGTTCTGATGTGCATCCTACAAATCCAGTGAAGAGTTGAGGCACTCAGAAGGAGCAGCATCTTCATGCAACAACAGCACAGAGCTTCTGGTGATAACATAATTCTAGCTGCTGTTTAGTCCCCAAATCTCCTAGGAACCCATGGAAATTGTGAATAGAAAGTTTTTATTTGGATGCAGTTTTGAAGCCTTTAGAGGGGAGATTCAGAGGTGCTTGAGCCAGGTCCAGGCTTTCCCAGAATGCAGGCAGGATTACAGCTGGACTTGTTTTTCCATCTTTTATCCATCAGATTTTTTTATTTCTACCAAAGAAGTTCTGCAGGATGTGGATTTACAGCTCCTTAGATCCCTTTGCACATCTTTGGATCCCTTTGCAGCTGGTATAGCCCTGAGGAAAACTCAAACCAAATTTGTCCGAGTCTTGCAGAACCTGGTAACCAAATTATAGCCCACCTTTTCTTCATTAAAAACTATGCACAAGAACAGATATTGCAAGTAGCTAAGAGGTGAAAAATTCATACCTAATTGCTTTATAGAGCCTCATTTCTCTGGCTCGATCCCATCTCATGATACCTCATGAAACAGTATTTTGTGTAGCCAGTGAGAATTGGAAGCACTTAATGACATTTACACCCTTGCTGTGAAATGGGAAACGTTTCAGATGCTTTGTAAACAGGAGAGAAACCCTTAGAGGGTCCCACTCTGACACACTGTGAGTTTTATAATAATTAATTAGCTGGATGAGCTCGTAAATGTAACAAATAATTGTGCCAAATGGGACAATGGCTCCAATTTCGCCTGGGTGTATTATCTGATAAACATTGATTTACTGTCCTGGGCTCTGTTGGATTAAATAAAGTTTCTCACTAACACATCATATTTTAGGTAACTGCATTAACCCTCCTATTAAAAAAAAAAAAGTAAAAAAGAAAAAAAAAATAGCCATGAGTCATGTTTTTTTACTCATTAACCTGAAAAGTTACAATCCAGCAATCCAGGATTCACATAAGGCTAAATGGAATTTTGAGAAAAAACGTAAAATCTCATCAAAATCTTTTTCAGGGAGCTCTTTTGATAGCTCTGAATGCTACCCCACACTGACTTTGTGTTCCACTTGGCACACAAAGAAATTAAATATATTATTTGCCAGACTTGTACAAGACAGTACTCCTGCAGAAAGAGCTGCAAAGGGATAAACAGCAATTTCAGCAGTACAAAAACTGGCAAAAAGTGAAATCTGATTCCTTATGGAAATAAGTGGACCTCTAAATGAAACAAATCACCGTGGAAGTAACATTTCTGAGTTGAAAGAAAACAAGAGCATATTTAAAGTTCTTGTTTTTTAAAAATTATTATTTTCCCTACATTTCAGATGCTGTACAAGCCAGAAGCTTCTTGGGAAGGTCCCTAAACATTAATAAATATATTTTCAGTAATAACAGCTCTAAGTGCTTTCATTTGGCAATGATCACAGATAATTGATTCCCTCTGAGAATGAAGTTTAAATAAGATCAAAGAGGAAAACTCTGCTGGGGAGGGATGTGCTGGTTCTCAGCTCCTGGTGCTCCTCTTTGCCTGTTAATTCTTGGAATGTTGGGGCTGGCAAGGGGGTGGTTGTTAGGAGCAAACCTGGTGTAAATCTGCTCCACGTTTGCACCAATTCTGCTCAGAGTCTGTGATCAGAGTAAATCCCTCACCCTCCTGCAGTGCTCATCTCTCCTGAAATATTCTGCTTTTCTCCTGGGAGCTGCTGGCTTTGGCTTCCTCTGTTTTTTTCAAAATATCCTTTTTGTGTTGGGAGCTCTCAGAACCCCTCTGAAGAGCAGATCCCCAGTGAGAAACAAAAAAGCTGTTGTTCTGCTAATTAATCACTCAAAACTTTAATGTTTGCTCTTCCTGACCAGGGCACTAACAGGTTATTGAATGCTCTTGCCTCTGACATGAGAAAGAAACATCTCCACTTCCAATATTTTGGTGGGTGTTTATTTAAACCAAATTATTCACAAAGGTTTTATGATGTGGTGGATAGCAGAGAGGCTGTGGTCTACTGATTTATTCTTTTTTAATTTTAATAATGAAAGATTAAATCTGGTAGGTCAGAAAAGAATGAGTAATATCCTTCCCTCTATGGCACTTTGCATTATCTGAATGCATTTTCTTTCTGGGAACATGCTAATCTACTTTTAATTATTTTTTTTCCCCCAGAAACATGGATATTTTGAAGGAAATGTGTGCCCAAAGTCTTAAGTTTGGGTGACTCATGTTAGCTACGAAAATATCTGTACTTTATGGTGGCTTTATGAACCAATAATCTCTACTTAGAATTCAAATTTATCTCATATATTTGCTAGGCTGAGGGCCTTTCTGACCAACACTAAGTTAAAAATCAAATCTCCATAATGCTTAAACACCTATATTAAGAAGCTTAGCTGAAGTTTATATAACATTTAGATTGCTGCAGTGTCTTAAAAATCTGTTTAAATGAAGCCTTTTGGATTATCTCTTGATTATAATATATTTAGGGATTTTTTTGCTGTTTTTTTTTTTTTCTCTCTACAATCTAAAGCTGCAGATAAGAGCAGAGTATTACTTTTTTTATATCCTGCTTTAAAACAAGCAGAGGGCAGTTGGTGAATTCTCTGAAACCGCAAAGAAGCAGAGTGCAAAATGTTATGGTCATTTTCCTTAAACACTAATCAGGATAAAACACTGCCTTCACCTTTTCTGTGGATGTTTATGGCAAGAAATGGTAGAGCACTTAAATTTTTAGTGCTTTGGGCTTCAGTGATGAGCAGCCAACTGCAATGGCAGCAAATAATAATTAGGGAAAGGGTGAGGGAAGTTGATTGCCCTGATCAGTGCATGCAGAAAACAGAAACTCTTCTTACAATTGCAGAAATGGCCATGTAACACAATTTTTTCTACATATTTATTATATTTAGGGAGTGCTTTGGGCACATTTTAAGACAACAACAATAAATGTTGTATGAATGGGACTGGACAACCTGTGAGAGAGACATGAGCAAAGATCCCAATAAAATGCAAGTGGCTTTTAAAGTGGATTTTAATTCTGAAGTAAATTTCATCCCAGTAAAATCCAGGTGGGTTTTTAGCAGACACAGAATGTGAGTGCCTGTGCAACAAACAGAATTATAGAATCATTTAGACTGGGAAAGACCTCCAGGATCATTGGGTCCAACCTTCAACCAAACTTCACCTCGTCAAGTAAACCAGAGCATTTTAGAAGAATAATTCTAATAATACATTAAATTAATCTGATTTTAGGAAGGTGGAGTAAAGCTAGGGGGAAAAAAAAAGTCAGTTTCATAAATAATGGTCTAAAATACAAGTTACTGCACTTTTCTTTTTCAGTTTTGCATTACTGCTTAGGAACTCCACATAAGTTTCCTTCTGGGCAGTAAGGGAGACAAAGCATAAAGGCAATCTTTTTATTTTTAGGACAAACTTGGGATAGGCAGTCCTAAGGCAGAGGAAGATTCTCCTGTGTGAAATAATATTTACAACAATCAAAGCATCTGAAATTAAGGCAGGTGTCAGCCTCGAGTCAAACCAAGTCTCGTGCTGTGTAAAACGACCCAGACATGGCATATATTCATTTTATATTTTTTGCAAATATTTTATGCTGCAAAAAACTTTTTTTTCCTTCTTTTTTTAAAAAAAATATATTTTTGACCCCTTCCTTTGATTAGACATTTTTTTCTTCTTTTTTTTTCCCCCTTCTTTTAAAAAAACTGTACTTTTATGTTATCAGTCATGTCAGACTGGCCCATTCTATCACATGGGTTTGACAGCACGGTCTAAACCACACCAAAATCTACCCTGGTGACACCTAAAAATATCCATCAACATCAGTTTGCTTTTTGGAATGTTGTAACTTAACTGACAATTGAATTTTTTGTCCAGGTGTGTTTTTAAAGGAATGAGAATTATTTATCTCCCCAGGATATTTTAATTCCACGTAAATTGAGTCTGATGTTATTATTTGGAGGTCAGAAGAAATCCAGTTGTGAAGGCATGAAAAATTCTTCATTAGCAGGTTCGTGTGAGTCATCACCCTGCAAGTGCTTCATGCATTCCCTTCTCTGTAGGATTTTAATTGGTAAGATCCTCCCGTGCCTAATGCCTGCAAATACTGGGTGTTATTTCTGCTTCCTCAGCCTCCTGGGCTAAACCTATCATCAAGGTCTTAATTACTTCCCATCCAAGCAATAGCTGCCATTTATCAGCACGATTTAAAGCTTTTCTCCTTGAGCCCACCTGCTAATTTTTGCTGTTAAATAAAACCCCTGACAAGCAGGAATATGCCAGCTCGTGGCAAGGAAAGGGAGATGTTGGGGGGGTTTTCTGTACTAAAAAAAAAAATCAGTGGGATGAATGTAAACCAGCCCCTGGCAGCAGCATCTCAGTGTCTCCTGAGAGTTGGGGTTTTTAGGGGTTTTAGGTCTCTGATTTTGGTGCATCTCGGTTTCTTTTTGTTTATTTTGCACACTCAGGTTGGTGAATCCCTCTCCAGGGTCCAACCTGCAGGTTACAGATTTTTCGGGGCTGAAGGTAGGTTTCTTGTTTCCAAAGGACTCTAAATTCTGAAAAATGAGCCCAACCCCTGTCCTGAAAAACCATAATGACCACCTAAGCTTGAGCAGATCATTGAAGGGGTTCTGCACAGGGAATTTCACTGAAGAGTTTGGGATTTAACCACTGCTAGGGTTAGATAAAATTGCTTTAACTTTTATCCCTGATTTTTTGGACATGGGATCAGTCATCTAAGAAGCTGAACCTAATATTCCTCTGTGGGAACTATAATCAAATTTTTAGTTACAATCCCAAAGAAGTCCCACAGTAAGACAGGGATTCCATTGTACCTGATTAAAACAAGACTAAAGAGGCCCTGCCACCAGCAACACCAGGACTTTATCAACACCATCTTCTGCCATAAAAAAAAATGAAAAAAACTCAATCCCAACGACCCTTGAGCAGTAGAGAACTATTTTGATTTTACACATCAACTTCCAAGGTAGTTCTGTAAATAAATTGAAGATTCTTCCAAGCTATGAAAGAAGCAGAGTGCTCCCATATTTTAGTAATATCTGATTGCTTCTCTTTCAAGCTGTGACATAATAGAGAAATTAATTAAACCAAATGTCACCGTAGTCATATCTATAATGAATTTCAGTGCCCTAAAACACTCCAAAAATTGACACAAGAGCACAAGAAATTGTATTAAAAGGCTATGGCATTTAGTAGGCACTTGATAAAGGGTAATGATATAAATCACACCAACAGCTTTAGGTACTTGAAATAACCATTTATTTGTACACTGGTTTATTGTCTGGAGACCCTGACTGGGACTGTGCCCTGCTGGGTGTCCTGTGCAGAGAATTCCCCTCCCCTCTTTTCTCCTCTTCTTCATACAATTCCCAGATCTAATGTTAATTAATAACCTTATCCTATCATAATTGGAGGACTAATAATGAAAGAAATCAAGCAACAGTTGTGATATAACATTGATTTCCCTTGCAGCTGCAGATTTGGGTGTTTCCCTTGTTTGACTTCTTTTTCTGGAGGGAGTTTAGGTGCCTGGTTAATTACCCCTATTTGCCCTATTTAACATATTAAATATGGGGAATAAACATCACCCAGTCATTATCTCCCTTTCTGATAGCAAACATTTCTCTGCCAGCTCCTCCCTGATGGGTAATGGAGGAGAGGAACCAGGACACAGCCTGAGGCTGTGGTGAGGAGCCTCAATGTCCTCTGCTCATTTCTGATCTGAGAAAGGTCCTTTTGGACAACCTTTTTTTTCAGCATCTCCAGCCAGCATCTACTCTTTGCTCTCCTGATGGAAAAAGAAAAGTAAATTGGTCACATTCAATGTCTTCCCACTGAGCACATTGAAAATAATAACAGAATCTGTTAGTTTGGCTAATCCAGCAAATTTATTGGAGGCTCCTTGGTTTCCTTGCCCATTCCTGTTATTCCTCTAGTTATTCACTCACTCCTTTGTGTTTCTCCTCTCTGCAAGGCAGCTTTTGGAGAGCAGGGGCTCCTCCTGTGGCTGGGAGTATTGTTTGGTGCAATGAACCTCACTAGTTTGCTTCTGTTCCTTCTTGCACTACTCAGCAATTCCTGATGCCAGTATAATTTTAAGAGTTTTGATGTTTTCTTGATATTAAATAAATAATATGGAACAACCTTAGCACAGCCTTTCACACCCCTCCTGGTTTATACCCACTTGTTTACAGCTCTACAAACTTCAGCTGAACTCCATCTGCTTGTTTTAAAAGGCATAAAAATTATGTATAAAAATACCCAAGCACCCTACACAAATTATCATAACTGAAGCCCATATGGCAATTGTAAAAACAGAAATGTAAAAAGTTCAAGGCAGACAACTCAGGAAAAAAACTACAAAAATATTTAGAGTCTTCTCAGGAAAAGTTCTTTAAAAATGTAGCTGGTCTCCTTGACACAAAATGTAATGAAAATTTAGTTTCCAATTTAGTGAAAGATTAAAAATCCCTTAACCTTATAACCCATCCTGATTAAAATAGCCTTTGATTTTATCTCATTGGTTAGTACAGAACAACACTACACGGAATTAGCAGAAATTCTCTTTTCCAGCCAAAACTTACCCAGGTTGGTTTCTATTCAATTGACTCATTGTCCTTGAATGATCAGATCCAAGGCTTTCAGAGCTGGGACATTGCAGTTGCACTCAGGACTGTGAAAGTCATTTTGAGTCAACATGAGAAGAGTGAAAGTCAGAGAACGAGCTGGAATGGAAATGCCAAGTGAGAAAAAGTGGATCTTATTTTCCTTTCAAATTGTTCAACTCGGAGAGTAACAGGAAAAGTTTCATACTTAAAACCCTTTTGTTTTCTGGAAGTTTTCAGCATCTAACAGTCCTGGGTTACAGTGGAAAGTCTCTTGCTTCTTTTAGCTGTGCTGTAATTTCCATGAGCAGCAGACAGCTTAGCAATAATTCTTACCATGTCAGGCAGTGCTTCAAAGCCTTGCACAAATACTGAGGAACACTCCGGAAGATCAGGGAAAAAAAATCGTAGTTAAACACAGCTGCATCTTAGTTAATATTTTTAACTATATTTATTTACAAGAGACATGTAATTAAAACTGGGAGGAGAGGATTCTGCTCTCACTGCAGGGTACAGTTGTCAGTCAAACCATTTTTAGACCTTGGTCTGAGGCTGTGTCTACAAACACTTCAGATTGACAGGCAAGTTCCATCTCCGTGGATGTAACAACCTATTTTTGAATAATAATGTGGGTTTTGATTGGCAACTCAACAATGGCAGAATGCAGCCATGCATGTACCCTTTTTATACCTGATTATCTGCTGCTCTACCACTCCCCTGCCGTGCACATCCCTGCTGTGAATTAAAATGGGTCTGGCACTCAACCCTGCACAGCCAGCACAGTCCACAGGATCAGAACATCAACAAAAGAACATTATAACCCAATAAAAAGTAAAATACTTTGAATTGTAATACTCTGACTGCATCCTGAGCAGTGTGACTGGTGTTTCCAGGTCCCTTACAAACACATGTTTGGCAGTTTAACCCTGGCATTGAGTAGAATTTCAGGGCTGGCACAAAAGAAGCCCATAGAGAGATGGGAGGGAGGGAGGGAGTTTGAAATGTTCAGCAGTGGCTCAGTTCAGTGTGTCTTGCTGGTCACATCACCTTGGTACCTTTTGGATGGCTCCAAACCCTAATGGCCCTGAGTCCCACCCTGGGACCCTGAATTCTTCATCTCCTCACACCAAAATGTTGCTTTGATTTACCAGGCAGCTTCTTCTCAAATTTTGTAAAATTTAGAGAAGTCAAGTTTGTGGTGTGCGTCTGTTCTATCGTGGACAGAACATCTTTCTTCATTTAGCAGGTCTTTGTTTATATTGTGGCACTAGAGGTGTTTTCATGCATTTTGAAAAGCACTTTGTCAAATATTAGGCTTTACATCTTTATCAGGTATCAGTGCTACAATTCTCTTACCCATGACTTTTAATGGTAGCTGAGTAGAGATCTCCTGACTTGAAATTTGGTTGTCTGGTACAAGTTATCCTTATAAACTTCCCTCAATTTCAACAGAGAGAGAGAGGCAGAATTGGAAAGTAATTCATGCCATCCATCTCAGCCAGTTTCCTTGGAGGGATGAATTGCCCCTGTGTCTCTGGATATTGAGTAACAGCATCCTGCATGTGCACTCTGGGCATTTTTCTTCTTCAGTGTCATCAGCTGATGATGACAAGAGGAAATTTTTAAACCAAGAACTTCTTGATCTCAGCACTGCTTTAAAATGTTGCTGTGTGGGCTTGTAGGAGCAATTAAATATAAACAAAAATGTCAGTCATGACATTTGGAAGTAGATGTATTTTAGCTGATTCAGACCCCCTTCTAAATAATAATTTCTCAGATAAACAAAAATAATAAATTCTCAAAAAATAATAAATTTTCAGATAAACAAAGCCAATAAATTCTCAACAGAAGTGAATTATCAGATAAACAGTTCCCTGGCAGCTGCCAGTAAAAGAACTTTAAGGAGATTTCTCTGGCACTACCTCCCGACCTTTTCCATTCTCTTTTAGCCTCAAAAAGCAGTTTGAATTTTCTGCACAGTAACTATCTTTGTGACACTAGTTTAAGGCAACATTTGTCTCTATGGACACTGAAAAGCCATTCCAGCTTCAGGTTACTTGAGAACTTGGACAATTCATTTACCCAAGACCAAGCCTGCCATCATTCCCAGCCAGCCCCAGTGTCCCCAGTCCCAGCTTTGACTCAGCCCTCAATCCACAGACAGCCCGTGAGCTCCTGTGTGCACAGAGTTTGTCAGGAATAGCAGTAAATAATGGCATGGGCAAGCCCTGCTGTTTCTGACAGGGCCTTAGGAAGCCAAAAGAAGAAATGCACAGACAACAAATCCCAGAATTACATTTTTCAGGGCAAGTGTATGAAGAGAAGGCACAAAGCCAGTGTCTGCATTTCTGAACTGACTCGTTTTCAGTCAGTGCAGAGAACTTCAATCTGTGAGCTGAAAATTCTCAGATTTGTACCTTTTCAGACAATGCCTATTAAAATCGTTTTGGTTTGTATTTCAGTTTTACTGCCTTGCAGAAAAGATGGTGGCCAAGAAGGATAAGTAATTTTTCTTACAACATATTGCTCAAAAACATCCCAGAGAGAATATTCCTGTCCTATCCCATTCCTATTAAATCACAATTTATCTTAGAAACCTGAATTGCACAGCAGGTGATGGAAAACATCCACTTGCTTTTCTACAAAGTGTTCAGCTTGTAAGAGCATTCACTTTTTTCTGCTTGATTTCTTCATCTACACTAAATGTTGACTTATATATTTTCTAGAAAGGCTGTAAAGTTCTGTTAAAAATGCAGAAAAAAAATGTGATTAAGGAACACTAACCATAGCCTTAAATTTTTTTTTTAAATTTATCTCATTAGAATAAAGCGCTTGTATGTTTATCTTCAAAATTTCAATCCGTTCAAGAAAAGAGGTTTTCTTTTATTCTTTTTAATTAATATATTCGGTATAAATGACTGATTTTTATCTCTGTAATAAAATTTTAAGCTGAACAAAGATAATTCAGGCAAAATAATTAAATTTGCTAAGTGTCAAGCAACTTGAAACTTCACTGGAATGTATTTACATTTGGTAACTTTCCCTCAGGAAATTCAGAATTTAGCATGGGAAGTGGCATTTTTCTAAATTCTTCAAGAGTTTAAATAGAAGAAATAGCATTTCAGCAAACTGATCCAAGAAAATTCTGTGACTGTGTTATATGCTTACATAAATCTGCTTTGTCTTTTCATTTCCTGGCAATGCTCAGATTAGGAAGTGCAAACAAAATATTTTAATCACA